GACAGATTTTCCTTCAGCTGAATTAAAGCAAAACTTAAATAATTTTTGGACCAAAGGAAGAGTGTTTAAAAGTTAGCACAAACTTCAGTTCATACAGCTAGAAACCATCAATCAGGTTTCAACTTTCAGAGGCTTAAAAAGACAGTAAAAAAGCCAGCCTTTGTTTCTGGCTGCATCCTGAACATATTTAGGATTAAAGGACTAATGTCTCAAAAGGACCTTGAAGAACTAATTCATGTGTTCAACTTTAGTAGCACTGCAATGTTTTCTTCACAGTTCTGCCTAAAAAGTTGATCAAACAGCTGCCAATGATCCACAATGAAGCTACCTGCGTCCTCACTAAGAATAAAAATGAAGACCGCTGCGTCACCTTAGTTCTGAAGTCCTTACACTGGCTCCCTGCATCCCAGTGAATACATTTTCAAATACTTCTGTTAGTCTATAAATCACTGATTGGCTTAGCACCAAAATACATTACAGACTGGTCAGTGTATCAGCCTCCCAGACCTTTTAGGTCTTCTAGCCTAAATCTACTTTTTAAAACCAGAGCCAAACATTAAGTAACTGGGTTTAGTAAATATATACTTGAGTCATTTGGAATAAATTAGCAGAGAACCATAAAACCACTAAAGCTGTGCACCGTAAATTACTTGCTGCTGACATGTGCTAAATAAATAAACTTTTATCGTCTTAATCAGTAACAGACAAAATATTCAGCCAAGTCAGAAATATCAGTTTAAACCACATCATGGATTTCAAAAACTGCATTTTCACCAAGTAAGGCATCAATTTTTTTCTTCTGCTTTTTAAAGCAAAAAGCAGAGTAAGTTGAGTTAACTTGAGTTAGTTTCTTATTTACTCAGTGATATTGTTATATTTATCCAGCCTGATGGGGGCGTCTCAAACTCCTCTATTACACAGGAGACTAGAAAAAAAAACAAAAAAAAACTCTTTGACATCGATTTCCTCGACAAAATCAAGAGTGTTCCCATGAGAACAAAAGCAGATGAAAAAGGGGGGGATGTCTGCATCTCCCAGATAAGAGACTAAATCGATAAGGTGATTTCCACTGTAAGCAGTCTGATTATTTTAATATTGTGGTTTATTTATCAGCCTGTCAGCGATATAATAAAAAACACACCACGGAATGGCAGCTTAGGTTCAATCATGAAAACCTTTTCTTCTTCCAAGCAACAGATCATTAGTGTGAGTGGGGACATTTTTAACCGCCACAGCAATAAATAGCCAGAGATAAGGGCCCCGACCTGAACTCTGTCAGCAGCAGGTTGCCTGATCAGTAAAAAGATTACTGGGAGCAAAAACAAAGATTGAATCTTTGCACAAAAACACAGAAGAGTTATTTAATTCATTATGTTTTCAAACTAATGTACTGAAGACAAAAATCCCTAATATTGATACCTAATTCAGGTCACATTAGCAAACAGTAACAGTCTTATTTTTTCTAATTTGACAGTGCAAACATGTGACATGCTTTAACAAAACAGGAAGGGGTTTACGTCCAATCACCTAAAAAAAGAGAGAATTTTTTTTTTTACTTTTTATCCAAATAAATTAGTTAAATGTGAATTTTCTCCAAGAAATCATGACCAAACAATTAATTTTCTATTTCTGATACCGCTATTGCAGCTTTGAGCATTGACCTACAGATATTAAGACCAGAAACAACATCAGCATGAACCATTTTACTATTCATGACTTATTTTTAGGACTGCAACTAACGAATGTTTTGCAAAGACGATAATCTGTGGATTATCTTTTAGATGAATAATTGTGTGGCCAAAAGTTCCTTAAAGACAATTATGTTTATGAAATTAAACCAAGTGAAAGTAAAACTTTTGCACTTGAGGAGTTCTGGATAGAGCAGATTAACAGATGAAAACTTTTTTTTATCTTTTTTTTTATCTTAAATGATAAATATTATATATATTTTACAATTTTGGTATAATTGTTGCTCTAAGTAGCTGAATTTGTCAGCTAAAGGCATGTTGTACAGTCTCTATACTCCAGTTGACAATTAATCGATTACCAAATTAGTTGAGGATTATTTCAATAATTGATTAATCCAATTGTTTCAGCTCTACTTATTTTGTAGATGTAGGCTGATATATTCTGATATTTGATTTTTGGCTGATATTGGATTGATTTCCCACATCAGCATCAGATGTCCCTTACTAAAATAAAGTGTAATTTCCCTAAATTTAAAATTCTAGCAGATCAACTAGACATTAATTCTGGGGTCTTCATTAAAAAACAAGAGCTGTCTTCTGTAATAATCTTAAACCACAGAGAGATTTTTCCTTTTTGATTTAGGAAATTCTTTAATTTCTCGTTTTTTTAACTGCATAACAGTAAAGAGGTTCAGAAACCGAAAGGTTCTCCGCTTAATTAAAGGTTTTATTATTTAAGAATTTGACTTCTGCCTTGATCCTCCACTTAGAGACAACGTGATGATCAGGAGTCTTTGACACATCAATCACCTGAAATAAATCAGGTTGCACAAACAGCTGATCTTGGTTTTGATTGCAAACAATAAAATTAAGCCCTGCTCTGAGAACTACATGCATTCATCACAAAAAAAACTGATAAGACTAAGTATGGGTCACACACTTGTGTAAATCATATTCTAATGTGGAAGTTCTGAGGGAGAAGTTACCATCAGTTTATTCTGACAATTGGTGTCGTCTTATCTTTTGCCTCGAGGTGACATATAAATCAGCCCTGATGTTTTAGAGCCAGTTAATTCATGACCAATTAATCAGCTGCTTCAGCAAACATGTCAAGCATAAGTTATACCCTTAAATAAAAACCATGAAACCTCTTTGGCTGTGTTGTTATAAAACTACCTTATTCTGCCAAATTCATTCTATTTACACCAGTTTTACTTTCCTGAAAGAGGAACCTTTTATTCACTTCATGTAGTAATAAGTTAAAATAACTAGTTATTCATTATTCTATTTGGAAACATAATTTTAACCAATCAATCAAAGCTAAAGTTTTGATTTTTAAGTTAAATCATTCTTGTCATTGTTGCTCGTTGCTGTAGTGACCATTAAACAGTTATCGGTCTCCGTCAAGTGACGTCAATTGTTTACCTCGGGCGCGGTACACTACGCCTTTTCCACCTAAAATGGCGTCTTAGCAACAAATGTCACGTGACTGGCGGAGACCGATTTTCCTAAATCCGCCCCTGTTTTCAGGCTTATGTTAACTGTAATGACTTATCTTGGACAGGCTGCTATGTAAACGGGCCTTTAGTCCTTCGTTTAGCTATGCTGCGGTTGTTTACACTACGCCTTTTCCACCTAAAATGGCGTCTTAGCAACAAAAGTCACGTGACTGGCGGAGACCGATTCAAAACTGTTTATCAAATACTGTTGTTCATTTAAAGAGGGCCCACTTCATTTTAAACTCATACCGCTATACAGCACTGAACAGGTTTCTGTGTCCATTTCTTCTCAGTTTTTAATTTTAGGGTTTTTATACACCATGATCTGAAACTCAGTGTCTGTGAAATTAGAGTTAATCTCAAATAGAGATGGATCATAATTGCAAAATAGCAGGGATTTGTCCATAGCTGTTTATTGGTTATTTATTCTCCAGGTGCAAAGTATTTATATTTTAAAACACTTTACAGTACAGTATTTCATTTATTTTTTTAACTCTTCACTATAATGTTATTCTTATACATTTTTCTAAGGTTCACATTTGTGTGACCACTTTTTTCTATAATTTCCTCATTGCGGGACAATAAGGGAATTTTCTATTGTATTTAGATTACTTTTTTTTTTATTAATTATATTTTCTACTAAACTGATTACAGTTTTTGACTTCTTGTTTAAAAAACGTTTTTAAAATACTTTCTTAAAGCAAATAAAGTAGCATTCTCCTCTTGCAAAGCTTTTTTTTTGAGTAATCTTTTTTTTTTTTTGCTAAAGTCTTGAATTGTAGCCAAATGATCTAAGCCCATATTTGAATAAACATGTATGGAAGAGGATTAGGGCCAGTAAAAATTCTTTAAAAAGTTAACAGATTTTTGGAATATATTTCAGTATGAGAAAAAAAAACTTTAATCTCAGAATTCTGACTCTTTTAATCTCAGAATTCTCACTCTTTTAATCTCAGAATTTTTAATCTCAGAATTCTGACTCTTTTAATCTCAGAATTCTCACTCTTTTAATCTAAGAATTCTCACTCTTTTAATCTAAGAATTCTCACTCTTTTAATCTCACTATTTTTAATCTCACAATTCTGACTCTTTTAATCTCAGAATTCTCACTCTTTTAATCTAAGAATTCTCACTCTTTTAATCTAAGAATTCTCACTCTTTTAATCTAAGAATTCTCACTCTTTTAATCTAAGAATTCTCACTCTTTTAATCTCACAATTTTTAATCTCAGAATTCTGACTCTTCAATCTCAGAATTCTGACTCTTCAATCTCAGAATTCTGACTCTTCAATCTCAGAATTCTGACTCTTCAATCTCAGAATTCTGACTCTTCAATCTCAGAATTCTGACTCTTCAATCTCAGAATTCTGACTCTTCAATCTCAGAATTCTGACTCTTCAATCTCAGAATTCTAACTTTGATCTCAGAATTAGGACTTTTTTCCCATATTAAACTGAAATAAAATGTAACTTTTTTTTTTACTTTTTCCAATGGGCCTAATTCTCTTCCGTACGTTTCTTTTCGTAGGAATGTTTTTTTTTTATTTTAGGTGTTGTATCGCCCCAGCAGCTGCCTACAGCAGTTAGCCTTTTTTCAGATGGTAATGGCTAACGGCAGTCTGAGCTAGCATCTGGTTTCTTATCCAACGGTTGAGTAGTTTCCAAACTGCTGTTGCTTCTAAGCAAAACACGCTAAAGGATCATTTTCGGTTTCTGTTCAACACATTTGCTTCCAGCAGTGATTTTCCCCCACTCTCTTTCTCCTCAGCAACCGCTTTGAGTCCAGTTGTTGTTCTCCCCCCTCCATCACTCACCCAGAAAATCAGGCTGTAGGAGATGAGGAAAGTCTTCAGGCAGGTAATCACTGGCTTCGTCTGAAGCCGCCGAGATGGGGGAGACATGATGCGGTTTAGTTTCACGGTTGGAAAAGCAAGAAACAATAGAAAAATTAGATAAATATATTTCCCTCTCTGCGGACGCCGAGATAATGCGGGGAAAACTAAACAAACAAAAAAAAAACTTTAAGGATACAAGAGGAAGTGTCGTCACTAACGCAAGGATCACTTTCCTGAAGGGAGAAAAGCTTTTCCAGGCCGCGTTAAGTTAGCAGTGGCCATATTGAAATCCCCTCAGAGAGAATGCGGCTGTCAAAATAAAAGCACGGTGCACAACAGACTTTTATATAAAACAACTCTCTCAGTGGACAAAGATCTTATCTTTCTTCAGGGGGTTCCCACAATGTGACCCTGTTTGTACATGATACACATGTACAAACAGGGTCACTCAGGAATCAAAACAACAATGACTATTTGATTTATTTCACTAATTCATATTCAAATTGAGATATAGGTGGTTCTAGATAAGGGCCAGCAGGCGCTAACGTTCCTGTAGAACCAGTCTTGGCCCCCCATTTTGGCCCCTGTACTGACAATGTGGCACTAAATAGATGACTTATGGTAATATCTGCTGGCACAGAACCAAAGCATGTTGGATTGTTGGATCTATTTTCTTTTGTTACAGTTAACTTTCAAATTCAGGGGTTGTACTTTGGTTTCACTTGTGTTGAGACCGTATCCCAGTTTTGATGTGCCATACCTGTGGTCTCTAGAGCCAAAAATATCATCTATGACTATTGCCTTGTTTTTGTGCAATGCTTTGCCTTTGCACCCCTATATATATATATATATATATATATATATATATATATATATATATATATATATATATATATATATATATATATATATATATATATATAAACAACAAAAAAAAAAAAAACAGTTGCCCCTCTAGTAAATTTGTTTAGAACCATCACTATTACAGTCATCTTCATTGCCTATCAAAAGCCTGTTTTTTTTTTTTTTATCTACATAAAAAATATGTATTCTCAGATTTACTTTTCGTGTAATCCTCACTTAGTGGAATGTAACTGTATACAGATGATCTATTTTAGTTGTTATTCTTAATAAATCATCCATTTATTAATGCAACTCTGGCCAGATACAGGTTGTTAATACATTCTCTTATATTTTAATTAAAATCCCTAAGGATCCCCTTTATTTTAAATGCCCTCTCTGTCAGCTCTGCCCAGTCCTGCAATAAAGATCTCAGAGCTGATATCTGATGTAATTTTTGTTTGTCAGTAATACCACACACCTTACCACTAACCAAGCACCCTTAATTTTCTTATACCACCTTTACCTCTACCACTCTTCTAATGATCCAATCATATTTAATGTAAAGTGACTCCCAAATGATAACATGTTTGATCACATCTATTATATTTTACGCCTGGATTTTGTTTGCATCCTCCATTTCTTTTTAACCTGCAGTCTTTTTGCAAAGTTTTTATGGTTACGTTTACATTTCCAAAATAAAATACTTTAATAAATTCTAATCTGCATTTTTTTTATTACCCCTTACATATAGCCTACTTTTATTTTGACAGTAGCGGAACTGTTTCCGGTATAATGAAGCCAGCCTTGACGCGCGCGCTGCGGTGAAGTGAACCACATAAAATTATTACAACGTGGCACTTTGTGAAACACAGCTGATAAAATTAGCGGTCCTTCCACTAAAATGTTTTTAGAGCACTTTCTTTTACACTGCGATTTTATCTAAAGGAAAATTGTATTTCCTAATAACTACATAGAATCACAACAAAAATAATCAGAAATAACTTATTATTGTTAGATCTAATTATGGTTTATTATTACATTCAGATTTAATTATTGAAGAGGCTCCATGCAAATAAATCAACAATTTTTTGGTTAAAAATTTAATTCAAACGAAGTTTAATAGCTTGATAAATGTTATGGTTGAGGTAAAGTTTCCCCATTAAAGCTCACAGGGATAAGATTCAGTGTTGCTGTGTGCAGAATGGTGATTTGTGGGATTTTATAATGTTTAATGCAGCAGATGGGAGGAAACATGTTCACACATGAAGCCCTTTAGCGCCCCCTATCGCCTTTACCTTCTTATTTCACTAAAATACTTCTTTTTCAGTAGCCTTTTTTTTTCTGCACAGCGGAGTTCAGACAAGGCTATCCGCCAGTTTATCAGGAAACTTCTTCAGGATTCTACTTTAATAATTTCCTTCAACTTTTGATTACAGAACTAAACAAACTATTTTTTATATGTTGGAGTCTGGTCTTTGTGTCGCTGCCATGCCAACCAGCCGCTGCGCTCGTGCCGCTGTTTTCATCTTTTTATTCTTCACAGGTGAGTTTACTAACTTGGAAAAAAAAAAAAAAAAGAAGGAAATACACATCTTAAAGAAGATTTATAGCTGCATAGTTTTTTTCTATTCATTTTAAAAATGCAAGACTTTTTACTTTTTAAAAATGTAATAAAGAATTACCTCCATTTTAATCGTAGCTTTCATTGGTTGATATCTCACTTCCTTATTTTAGCAACAAAAATCTGATACCTCTAATAAAACAAAAAAGCTAGAAAATGCGTTAAAGTTTGAGGGCCTTTTTATTGCAACATGCACAAGATTCCAGAGAATAGCAGAACAAAACATAAAATACAAAATTAAAAGAAAACACAAAAACAAATCTTTAATATTTACTGTACAGGTTCTTACTTTTGCAAGCTATTTAACTTCAGATACTTTTTTAATGATATTAAGTCAGCAAATTTTCTGATACAACAATGGATCAAAAGTTTATTATAATTCCCAAATCTATGGCTCTATATGACTTTACATCTTTATGAAAAAAACAAAAACAAAAATGCAACCATTTTTGGCATTTACTTAATCATAATAAGTTACTTAACACAATTGTTTTATGTTAAAGTAACTAAGTATGACTAAGTATATGCCAAAAAACGGTTGCATTATTTTGTTCAGTGTAGTTATTTTCTATTATGATATACATGTTTAAAAAATGTGTTGTGTGTTATATTTCTGGTGATGATAAGGGAAAACGCCTCCATCTCAGCTGAAACCACATCCATATCAGATCCAGATGTGCTCCTTAGCGTCCCCCAGCATGCAGCTGGCCAGGCTCCAGTCAAAATGAATTAAACATTAAGCCCAAGAACACCAAACATGCAGATAATTCATAGCCCCATTTAATATTTAATGGAGATGCTCCTCATTGGCTTTACAGGATTTACATTGTTCCACTATTTTGACTGTCTTTGGTGAAGATTTAGGGTCTTTGAAGTTGGAAGACAGTGTTGCCATCACCATAATCTGAGATTCAATACTTTTATTTAGTCAGAGGAATAACGTTCTTAAGATTAAAACAGGTGAAATAGTTACTCTCTGCTTTAGTACATGAGGGTCTGTTTCTTCAGCCATGATAGTGTGGACAGCCAGATAATTTGACTTTGGTTGAAGGACTTTGAAGCATACAGACTTTAAGAATACAATTAGAAACAGTGGAGGAGTTTTATTTATCAAGCCGGTCTGCTGGTAGTATGAATAATTTGATGTTTTTAGGCACTAGTGCCCTTTTTTTTTTACAGTAAGCTGATAGAAAATGGGGGTTGAAAAGGTCAATGGACTGGGACTTGGACCTGTAGCAGCCAGTGACAAGTGCTAAAGCCTCCTGGGTCGTACCGCCGTCTCCAGAATGAACCGTTTTGACTCTACCATATAATTTGTTTGATAAATATATTTCATGTAACTCTCTTTTTGTCTGGCAGCATTTTTTTAAGAACCTGAAGTTTTAGTTAATTTACTGTTCAATATGTTTGACATTTTCTAAAAGTTCATGGCACTATAGTGTTTGTAACTAGATTGTGTACTGCATACAAAATCTATCCTTTTAGTTCGGGGTTTTCATATAACCGCTAAAACAAGAGTTACAGCACTTAAAAAAAAGTAAACAAAGACCAGATTTAATATCTACTAAACAGCATCTAAATTTTTGCCAATAATTTCTTTGTTTTGGCCAAGTAGGGTTAGGCTGTGGCCTTCTTCCCTCCCCCTGTCATCCTTGGTGTTCCTCTATGCTCGCTGGCCAGGTGGTTTAATTACAGCTCTGCTTCAATCACTACTAGTTAATTACTGGTAGTGATTACTTGAGGGGCTTCATTCAACCCTGTGAGATGACAGCATGAATTGAAAACTGCCCCAGGGGCCCACGTGGACCCAGACGACTGGAAGGATGATTGTCGTTTATCTTCAGCTTTGTCATTAGAGATGAAGAGGCCTCAGAGCGGCAGATCCTAGGTACTCTGCAACATTTAAGTGCCAGAATTTAGAGGCTGTCAGTGTAGTGGAATGAATTCATGTGCAGTTTTAATGCTCTAATGCATGATGGGTTCTTGCTCTTTAAGTCTGCCGCTGCTTGATTCTTGCTGAATATCAGACTGATGAGTTGAGTGTTTATTTCCTGTGTGACTAATTCTCTGTGAGGAGGGAGGGGTATATCAGCCTGAGGGAAGCGCCACAGAGAGGAACACAGAGCTCATTATAAAGAAAAATGCTGATGACAGCTTTAATCTAAAAGGCTCTTGGAACAAGCTGCCTCAAGAATGGGAAGGATGGATGTGATGCATCCTTATTAATAGAAAACGCTTTAGAAGAGACCTTCTAGTTGGGTGGGGTAGAAAGCTGACAAAACTCCAACTGAGTTTGCAGAGGAAGTGGAGCAGGAATGAGGCCTGAAACAGGGGTGGAGGACGGCAGCCTGGAAACTCTGGCAACCAGCTGCTAACATGGAGACATTCAGAAGATCAACGGGGGGACAGAAGTAAACAGCTGTTGTGCAATAAGACAAAAAAGTGATGACTCTTCAGGAGAATAATGAAAACAGGCTGAGTTTCCACATGTGTGGTCAGCATCATTTCAAAACAGAGCAGACTGAAATATTCAATGATTTTGAACGTTGTTTAATAGTTATTTTTCTAACTCAGTGAAGTGAAACAAAGCAAGTTCAGACACAGACTCATGTTTTAAAACCTTTATTTCTCTTAATTTGGATTTTTTGCTTACATCAAATATAAATTCAACATTAATACTACACCAAATAAATAAAAAACATGTTTAGCACAGAAAAAAAGCCTAGCAAAAAGTAAT